TGTTACCTGAAACTGAAGTTAGCTAGTCATTCAATACTGCAACCTGTGGGTTTGCAAAACGATGGCAGGAATCCTGCTGTGAGGGAGATAGGAAAATTATTATAATCTGCATTCCTAAATTGAATGAGTATTTTGCTCAGCAGAGGCCTCTTGACTGCAAATAGTCTGAAATTACATCCTGCTGTTTAAAATGCCTTTTTTCCAAGTAAGTAAAAATGCCCACATTTTCTTAAATAAAATATTTTTAAAATCTTACATGAATTAAATTATTGAGAGAGGGAAAGCCATAAATCCTTTGCTACCTCTTGTAAAAACTGTTTGATATTCACATTTATAATAGAAGAGACAAAGTTGCTAGAATTTATGGGTTTATGCTTTAATTATTTAATTATTATATTGTTAATGCTTATCATCATATTTCTCTCATCAGTTTTTTTACTGAAAAAAACCATGTTTACAAGTTTTTTAATTTTTATGGGAGGAAATTGTATGACAGATATCAGAATCAGCTAATGGATATGAAGTCTACCATGCTGCTTTCATTTGTATTGAAAGTTTCCAGAAAAGACAACACAAAAGAAAACAAAAGACCATGACTTTACAGGAAGACACAAGGGATAAACTTCTGCCACAAGAGTAGCATAGTAAACATAACTTAATTCATGTGAGTTCTTTATCTCATTAAAGCCAGAAATGACATGAAAGGAAAAAAATAAGAAAAAAGAAAAAGGCTCTGAGGATAAGGATTAGAGGTTACTGTAGTTGTTTGAGCAATCGTTTTCTACTATGTGAAAGCAATACATACTGCAAATACTTTTCATTACATCCCATCTAAGAGTTAAAAATGGAAGAGGAGGTGTCTCGGCTTATCGTCCTCAAATTCTCTGCCCTTTAAATGGTGATCAGTGAAAACATTTACAATAAAAGCTGTCTGTGCTCCCACTGGAGTCAGTGGGGGCCTGGGCTTTGCAACACTTGGCAGTGTGTGTTTGTAAGTTGAACAAACCAGGACTGATTCTCTTGCCCAGAGTGTGGGTGACTTTGTCTCTCTATCCCAAAAAAAGGTGTCTGTATTCTTAGCAGCTTCTTGGAAACTTTCTCTTCCCTACCTGCTCCCTGAAATCTACTGTGCATTGAATGGGACTGTGGGGCAAAACCAAGGAAATAAGTGAATAGATTGGATGGATGAGCAGGAGCTAGGGATCAAACTCATGCCTTGTTTTGCTGTTACATTGTTTGTATGTAACTTTATGCTTTCTGATAAGAAGTAGTGGCTGAGAGGAAGATGAGGTCAGTCTCGAGTGAAAGGTGGTTCTCAGGGAGACCAACGAGACAGGCAAAGGTGGTGACAAGGGTACAAACATATCTTAAACAAAACCTGTGTTTCTGGATCTGAAGGGACCTTACGCTGGGTTTCGGTCCTGTTGCTTTAGATTAGGATTCACAGCTCTGACCTACTTCTGAAATGGTGGATAGATCACTTCTGGGGTTTTTTGTCACAAAATATATTTGACAGAAGACATTTTTGTTTCCACACATTAATTCAACCTCTTAGGACATGGAAGAGCAGAATTCAGTCTTTCCTGTGTCAGGGGACTCTCCTCCCAACCTCTGGGAGGAAGCTGTAGCCTCCAGGATATAGTCTGTATGCTGTAGGCTTAGCACAAATTCTCCAGGATCAGTTTTAAATCTCAGGTTATGCCAAATGTTCCCAGTTCACAAGTATCTTTCCCCTCCCCTCCCCCCCACCCCCCACCATTAAATGCACAATGTAGGTACTCAATTCAGCATAACTATAATTTATTCTCTTACATCAGGGTAATTTCTACCTTTTGCTACCTAAGCTTTTGTGTATAGCTTTTGTGTATTTTGCATATTTTGTGCAGGCCTTGTGTATAAATCTAGTTGCACATCTTTGATAAAATTCAACCAGTAACAAAAATTAACCATGGAAAATTTGGACAGGTAGAACTCCACTGGCTTTACAGCCAGTCAGATAATTTAGCTTATGCATTTTTATTTGCACTGTTTAAATGAACATGTCTACTACCTGTCAAAGACAGTTTGTTCTCCAATCTCAAATAGTGTTTGCAACATTTTTTGTAGTATTAACTATGAAATCCACAAAAAGAAAAATAAAGGAAATGTTTTTACACCATTTTATATCCAAATTTATATATTGGTATTAATGAATGTTTGCTTTAGTAACAATACTGTAAGCAAAGTGAAAGATATGGAGGATACTTAACCTCACGAAGTACAACAAGTCCAAGTGCAAGTTGCACCTAAGTTGCGGCAATTCTGGATACAAGTACTGGGAGACAAACTCTTTGAGAGCAGCTCTGTGGACAAGGATTTGGGGGTTCTCATGGAGGAAAAACTGGACATGATCCAACAGAGTGCTCTCACTGCCCAGAATGCCAAACAAATCCAGTGACTGTTTCAAAAGAGAAAGGTCAGCAGCAGGTCGAGGGAGGTGGTTCTTCTCATCAGCTCTGCCCTCATGAGGCCCCACCTGAGTGCTGCATCCAAGTCTAGAGTCCTCATCACAAGAGAGATATGGACCTGTTGGAGTAGGTTCAGAGGAGAGCCACAAAGGTGATTACAGGGATGGAGCACTTCCCCCATGAACAGAGACTAAGACAGCTTAGTGTTGTTCAGCCTGGAGAAAAGAAGGCTTCTGGGAGACCTTATAGCAGCTTTCCAGTACCTTAAGAGGGTTTATAAAAAGGAGGATGAGGGACTTTTTATATTGGCAGATAGTGACAGGAAAGGGGCAATGGCTTTAGCCTGAATACGGGTAGGTTTAGGTGAGATGTTGGGAAGAAATTAGTTATTCAGAGTGGCGAAGTAGTGGCAGAGGTTGCCCAGAGAAGTTGTGGATACTCTGGCTATATTCAAGGCCAGGCTGGATGAGACTTTGGCAACCTGGTCTAGTGGAAGGTGTCCCTACCCATGGCACGGGGGCTGTAACTGATGATCTATGAGATCCCTTCATCCTAAACCATTCTACAATCCTATCTTCCAGCATTATCTGTCCTGAAACAGCAAGGCTCTATCAACAGCTATGCTGAGCTAGCCAAACCCATAATCCTATCCCTTATGTTTCTTTATCAGTCACACACAGACATATTACACAAACCTCCCAAGCACGAACATACAGTGCAGGAAGATGGAGTTTACAACATATTTGGCATTCTAACTCTGCAACTGAGGTATTCATTCACCTCAAAGTATACACATACACACACAGGTATAAAAGATGTAATATTATTTAAAAAGTCCACATTTTAAAGCTACAATATATGCTCTTATATCAATTTTACTTTTTTGGAAAATATTTAGATATCACATTGAGGGCGCCTAAAAGAACTATCACAGCTCTCCTCTACACAGCAAACTTTGTATATTCTTGCAACTCCTCTAACCTTCTGCTTTTAAATGGAGTCTGTATTGTTATATTCATGTTCTTGTTCCTACTGAAGTCTGTTACAAAGATTCTCCGTAACTTCAATAGAACTTAGATAAAACTATATTTGGTTTTCTGGTGTTTTTTTTTTTCTCCTCCTATCTGGAGTAGATATTTGATGCCAGTAGGCAAACTTCTTTTTTATGAGGGATGATATTTTTATCTTTTGTTTTTTTTATACAGAGAGTTAGTGTTTAGAATACAAATTCAAATGCTAGATAGGGTAGCAGACAGAGGAAGATTAATTAGAAAACTATTATTCAGATGATAGCACTGGAATCCTTCCACAAAACCAGAAAAAGCAGAACTCAATTCATATAGTTTAATTACATCAAGTTTGAGCTCTGTGTGCTTTAGCCAATAGGTTTCCTGAAATTATTTTAATAGATTTGAATAGATTTAATAGGAGATGCTTAATAAGAAAAAGTAGTATCTGTAAAACTAGGGGTTTTTGCATTGTCCATATGAAATAAGATGAAGTTGACAGAATGAAACTGAGAGGAACTTTTCACCCTCTTCCCCAAACACAGATAGAGCATTAATCCTAAAGAATATTCTGAAAAAAAAAAAAAAGAAAAACAGATGGCAATCATAGAATAAAAATCAAGGTTATGATTGTTCACTTTTCTTCCCTACTGCTCATAGCATGATCCACATCATTATAAACATAGTGGTTTTTTATAATGTTATGATTCCTGCTGAAAATCCTGATGCATCTTTATGATCTTGCTACTTTCCTTGTCAGTTATGTGTCTGAGACATGACTTGATGAGCACATATGCCCACACACATTCTACCACCTTTCTGAGCATGTATCTGCTTGCAAAATTATTTATTCTATGTTTTCAATCATTCCATAGAAAAATTGTGTCAGTGAATTGCTCTGGTCAAGGCTGATTTCTTGAGGTGGCAAAGTAGTGTCAGAATAATATCAGCAGATTATATAATGTTTGAAGAGAAACCAAAGGGTAAACAAAGCATTTTATCAAAATCTCACAGTTTCTGGAATATGAATAGCTGCCATTAAGAAGAAATCAATTTTTTCCAACATGCTATGAATGTCTTTGGCATTCTCCTGAAGCCTCCATGCCATCTAGAACAATCAAGCACACAGTTGAACAAACACTCTGATCCCCACCAACTGTAAAGAAGAACTATCTCATGAACAAAATAGAATATTGTCCCCTTTTTACAGGCTGTAAATCAAGTGAGAGTGGTTGAAATGCACTAAACACAAGTCTAGAAGAAATGCCACAAAAATTGTTAATGGCAATCAAGCTCAGAGCATGGGCACAGCTTTGTCTTGGTGGCCATCTAGTCATTTAGAAGCCTTTAGGTTGCCTGAGCTCACTAAGCACATTTATTACAAGGCAGTTAAAAGCATAACCTCAGCTATATATATATATGTTGTATTAATCACCATTTTACTCATCTGTGTCCCTGTTCAAGCAACAAATTGAAACATAGTCCCTGGTGCTAAAGACGAAATAAAACAGTCCTGAAACCTGAGGTTTATAAGGAAGACACTAACCTTTGTGTCCTTAGGCACATCCAGGAAGTCCAGTACGTCTACGTCTGATGAAGAACATTCCAGAAGGATTTAACTCATCTGTTCCAGTGTTCAGTCCCACAAAGTCTTCAGTGATTACTGAAAAGACCATTCAGGGAATAAAGCACCTCCAGGTATGCAGATGGAAAGATCAGACATCTCTGCCGAAATGGTGTACAACTCGCTGAGCCTGTACAAAAAGAGAAGACACTGCATATTTGAAAATAAAAAAAAAACAACCCAACAAGCCAAACCAAAGAATTGAAAAAACCAAAAACCTCAGTTTCCCTGTTTAAGAATGCAAAGAAATTTTTTGCAGTAGGGCCCCAGAGGTAGTGCATGTCAGGTCATGTTTCTGGAAGTACTGTGTCAGTACCTTGTAAACATTGGCAGCCTGGAATCTGGAGCACAGGTTAGAAAGGAAGGGGAAAGGGGAAGGAAAATTACAACAAATGCATTTCACAATACCAAATCCCAAACAAAAGTCTTACCCAATGACAGAAAATGGCTAATTACACCTAGTTTAAGTGAGTTACAAGAAAAGGAATGTTAGATATTTACTGGTAAGAGGTAATATATTACTTGTGCTGCTGCTGCTCTGCTACATTTCGGCTTTGACATTGACCAGAAATGTATTTTGTAGCCATTTTGTAAATCACTGGAAAAACTACTTTTATACTTAGAATAATGCCAAAGACATCTGGAGAAAATGATAACCACATTTAGTGAGAGTAATTTAAATGATCTTGTCTTTTTTATATTCTCTGTGGTTTTTAGGGTTTTTTTTTTAATAATCTAACTATGCCTCCATATTGAAGACAAGGGTCACAGAGACAAACATGAATACGGTATTTAATTGCAAATCTCATACAACAATTTCTAGCTTGGGGCATGAACATATCTACTTTCATTCAAAGTAAATCAAGTCCCAAGGAATTTAGAATACAGTTAAGCTCTCAAAATTATCAATGTCAAATGTGACCTGCCAAAAGACATTAACTCTGCAATTATTCTGTTAGCTGGGAAAAAATACTTGAGAGTAGAGGATCAACACTAAATCAAAAGGTTTCTACAAAAATATTCAAAGAACGATCAGTCTGAGCACCTTTGCAGTATGGTTGGAGTCTAAAAAGTGCAGATGTTTTTGCACACTTGAAACTAAATTTTGTACCTATGAAAGAATGTATAAATGTACAATAATTTTATAAAAGTCTAGGAGAATAGCAGCCATCCTTTCTTTGCAATGAAGTGTTGATTTCAACATATAATTTCCATCTACATTACATAAACCACTTACTTGGCTCAAGAGCAGTTTACTTCTGACTGCTGTTGCCTGTAGGATACATGATTTGCAATGCTGAGTATTTTGTTTTTCCATCACAAACATTTATTCATTAATAATTTATCAGATAAATGGCTTCTGATTGAGCAATTTAAAAACGTAGGCAAATCAATGGCAAAAGACACCAAGCAGCATATTATAATGATACAATAATTCGAGCTCATACATTAGACCGAATTGATAGTGTCCCAAAAGCCCTCTTTGGATAGCTCAGTTTCAGAGAGTAAATGTTCAGCTGAAATACCTAATAAAACATCTCAACTACTGCTCTGAGAAATCATGCCAGTATCATGTACAGTATCTTTGAGAGCTAATAAGTTGGCTCTGGAAAGCAAATAAACAAACAAACCCTAGAAAATGCTTCTGTGATCCTATAAACTCTCCCTGGGGGGATATTAATAGTCACACGAAGAAGACAATGAACTTGTCTCTCAGTTGTGTGAATGAGACTTTGAAAATCATAATAGTCTGATTCTGTGATGTCAGTGATATTTAGAGATATAGATTGTAGCATTAGATCCAAACAATGTTTGTTATCATTTCTATGTGCAACAGAGACAGTGAGGGAAACAAATGTGATAAATCCCTTAAGAGGGAGCTCTCAAGGGTTCCTAATATATCATAAATAAGACCTGCTCTGTTACAGGATTTTCAGCTGAGTTGTTCACAAGGAAAATAAAATGCATTCTAAGGGCTGTGCCATGGCAATCATCACCACCTTTGAGGTTTCAGAGAAAAGAAGGGAGATTTGAAAACACTTTTGGAGAAAAGCTGCATATAAATATTTTCCTTCTTTCTAAGGTGTATTGCATGAAGTAAATGACTTAAATTTTTCCAGGACAGTAATCAAGCTCCCTGAGAATAATGTTGTTAAAAGTTCTATCATTTTACAGGCGTTCTGCATCTGCAGAAACGACTGGTTTCCCATCAGGCTTGAGGAGACTGGTCAATAATGTGTTGACACTATGTAGATTTATTTATAAAATGGATACTGTTTATATTCTACAAGGAATAGATTGTTTTTAAACTTAGATGGAATTTATCTTCCATTATTTGAGGAAGACTCATTAATTATACACAATAAATTTCAGGAATGACAGATCTACCAATTAAAGCCACAATTCAATGTGGAATATTTGTGAATATCCATACATGTAATTTTATATAAATGATCACAAATATAATCAGTTTATTTATTGTAAACAGTTTAAATGAATACATATGAAGTGAAAAATCAAATTAAATGTGATCATAATTATTTTTTTCTGATTTGATTTCTAATTTAACTGTTTCTGTTTGTGCTAATGTGAACACTAGAGCATCATGTTTAGTGTCTGTCTATTTTCAATATGTTTATCCACTCTACTTAAGACTACAGTCTTTTTCCATGCCAAAATAAGGCTTACTGAAGATTATATTTGTTTATTTTAGTTAATGGACTTGAGTTGGTTTACAGGTTTCCTTTCCTGAATCTGTTAGCTGCAGGGGACTTTTGAAAAACGAAGCACCTTGCAAGAAATATCATAAAACCAGATGACAAGACAAGAGTCTCCTGATCCTGTAAAGGAAGAATTAAAAAGAAATTTTCAATTATTTTATTTTGTTTTGATTTTATTTTTTTTTAAGATTAGAAAATAGCAAACAGCTAAACACATGGACATTTTAAGTGACCTCTTTATACACATGAAAGTCTCTCTTCCTCAAATCATGGGACAAATCCGGTCACCTGCCCATACCATGTCCATTTCAATGAAAAATGAAATGAGTCAGATTAAACCATGAGATCTGAATCACACTTAACACTTCTACAGAGTTAGACAGAAGGCATTAGCTCTCAAAGTGTCAAGGCTACTCTGGAAGGTTCAAATCACTGTCAGAGTTAGTCCCTACAAAAATAATGAATTTACCATAATGTCATGAAAATAGATACAGGGCACCATAATTGAGTGACTGGGGACAAAGAAAAAGAAAATAAAATCAATGATTAGTCACTTACACATATTTTCATTTTCAGGCTTCCCCTGATTTCCCTCTGCTCCATGAAAATAATTTTTAGAAAACCTCCAAATTTCTGAGCCTATGACATCTGTTCAGCCCTGATAATCAGCCTGCCCCAACTTCTAAGACTCCAGAGCTAGTGTTTGTGTCTCTGGGATAAATCTTTCTGACAGACAGCCTTGGGGCAGTAGTGTTGGGAAGCCCTCCAGCACAGTCCTTCAGAGATGACCGCACATAGTCCAGGAGCCCTTGATGGAATCTGGGAGGAATTTCTACAGATTGCTTTCGGTAGGGTTGGGAAGCCCTCCAGCACAGTCCTTCAGAGATGACCGCACATACAGATTGCTTTTTCTACCTGCTGCATAAATATGAAGCATACTTACCCTCAGGGAAACAACCCTCCATTCTTGCAAATTTTGACATGCCACCAACCCATATTACCTTTTCAGCTGTTATTCAAAATGTTTTAAAGGTGTGTGAAGCCATGGCAAGTCACAATGGCCACCACACCACTGCGCTCACCATCAGCTTTTCAGTTCCAAACTAGTTCCAGTTTTGGTTGCATGATAGAATGAATTTTAAGCAGCTCAATGATTTGCCACCAAAAAGGTGAATACTAACAACCTGCATTTTAAAAAAAATGTGTTTTTCCTTTTGGACTCAAATTTCAGTATGATAGAACATGGCTGAGAAAATTTGCATCAAAGTAATAAAAGTTGGTAAACACTGTGCTAGTGCATCCACATTTCAAAATATGCACAAATCTCCTCTTTTCCCTCTATTTAACTGTCAAGCAAAAGGTGAGATCAGCATTCCGCACTGAGTAATGTGTTACTATGGTGTAAACCTAGTGCAGTGAGTCTACAATTTATAACAAGTCAAAAAATTATCAGACTAAAATTGCATTAAAAAAAGGTGTGAAATGTGCAGTAAATCTCTTGAGGTAGTAGTCTTAAATATCAAGGCTGTGTTGCAATAAATACTTAATAAGAAAAGCAAGAATAAAATAATCATGAACAAATATTCTCAAAGTAACCTAGAACAGGGGTATGTACATCACACAAAATCTCATTTATACCTGAGTACTGTTCAAAGTACCACAAAAGTGAATGCATTTTCCTATAACCCATTATATTTCATATGTACAATAAATATGCACAACATACACTATATGTGGGTTCTTGTGCATGAGCTCTACAACAATTACTCAGTACAAATTGCTACCTGTGACAAGAGTAGTTGCTTTACTGATGCAAATCCAGCACATTAGCACAACTGTACAGACAGCTACAGCAGCGGAAACTGTCGCATGATCTACAGAAATAGGTCAGCTTTATGAGGAAATCACTTGTTCTTGGAGGAAATAAATAATGAATTTCCACTTGGGGAGAGACCCCCTTGCAGAGGCGAGGCCAATGTGAATTTTCTTGGCAGGAAACCTGCTTTATCTGAGAGTCAGAGAAAGGAACAGCCAGTGGCCCAGCATCCCTGCCTGGGCGCAGAGAGATGCCTTTCATCACACTTACAGGAGGCACAGTGCAAAAGGGTACAGGGAGAGGGTGGGGCTATGACAGCACTCATATCACAGCCCTGACAGCAGGGATATTCTGTGCTCACTGGTAAAGGAAGGCTACAATACATAGTGACCCTCAACAGCTTTGTGTGACAGTGAGAAAATGACAAGGGCCAGTGGGACTCACACATGCTCATCAGCACATTACAAACTGACAACCCTGTCCAAAGATTTCATTAATTCAGTTAAGGCACCCATATCTAAAAAAGAAGACATTTGTTATGAATTTATTTCTCATAATATATGTATTTTATGTTAAAATATATTTAAATACATG